GATTCCTCCATTTTCTTTGCAGGGAGGGAGCCTTTCCCCAACAGATACTTTGTTCTAGCCAAATACCTAGAGAGATGTGATGACCCTCAGGTACTGGGACAGATGGAAGGAAGGGGTCCTTGTGAAACACGTTTGGGGCATTTGTTGCTTCCAGCAAGTGCTTTTCAGAAGCATTGTTCCCTCCAACGGGAGGCTGAGCATAGCCATCACAACTAGTTGCCTTTGATAGGCCTCTCCTCCATGCAATTGTCTAGCCCTCTTTGAAAGCCATCCCATACAAGATGCTCTTGTGGTGCATCTGATTCTCCTGTGCTTCCTTGCTCCTGCAAGGAGATGACTATTGTGAGATCCTTTGGTTAACATCTATCTGGGCTGGAAAAAATTAAAGAATCAGAGGAGACTGGTGAGCTTCCCTTGAAGCACAACTGATCAAAGGCAGGCAGATCTGTTAGATGCTCAAACGACAAAAGATGCTATCATACCCCGCCAGCGTCTCATCTGATGGAGAAGAGAGCAGTTAAGTGGTCGGTGGGGCTCCAAGTTGTCGTTCCTGGATCCCACCACAGCCCTTCCAAGTTGCCCAAGAAATCAATGTCACAAGAGTTTTTTCCTCGCACCTCCTCCCCGTGATCCCCCTTCTCAGACATTTGCTGTGTCTGAACCAACAGATCCCACCAAACCAAGTAATCAAGGACCCAGTGAGAAAAGGAGTGTGCGCAATCATACCAGAAATAAACACAACTAAACAGGTACTAGAAGTCACCCCAGAACTGGCCCTAGTCAACATCTTCCAAGATAACAATGCCCACTCACACTATCAAGAGCTCATAACCCACCGACAGCATACGATTCAATATGGCTAACTTAACCTGACAACCCCACTCACCCACGCACAAACAAATCCCGCTGCAGCCAGCCAAAGATGATCAACCACACCCTAGGTCACCCTAACCTCTTTCACCATCAAGGAAACATAACAAGTGAATAGAAAGAGAACTTCCCCAAGTGACACTGACAGAAAAACCCCAAGCATACACTAAATAAAAGAACTTAAGCTTTGCCACCCCAGTCCCTCTCTCCCATCCCCCGACCCCCTTCCAGGGCTGGATTTAGAGGAAGACAGACCCTAGGCTACTCCACTTGGCATCAGGTGCACTTCTGTCATTTCTTTGCTGTTCCCTCACTCTTTGTCTCCCTGTTTTGTGGTCAACATTTGGCAAGGTGGCTTTTGCTTGTTTCTCATGCTCATCAAAATCTTCTCTTTAAAAAATCCAGAAGTGAACTGTACAAACTTGCACAAGAACTCAATAACAGGTCTGATTTCTGAAGGGCTTTGCTGACCTTGTGAAAATGACCTAGCACACATATACCTCTAAGATTCTGCAGACTTTGGCTGTGAACTAGGGCCCCACAAAAAAAAATTCAAGTTGGGCCCTAGAGTTTCAAATTGGTCCCCACTGGCTGGCCCTGAGTCTCATAGCTGCTGGGCCCAAGTTGCTCTGCCCTCACATGAAGTCTTGGGTTTGCAATTTTGGGAGAGGGGAGACTGTCTGCTGGGGGCAAGTAGGCTGGGGAGGCCCCCTAGATTTAGAGGCCCTAGGCTTCAACCTACTTAGCCTATCCATAAATCTGGCACTGGTCATGCAGTTTGACGTTCTCATCCATGTGTGTCTATTAATTCCTGACACTTCATTTTAATCCCTGTACTTCTTAGCAATCATTGGCTCTTAAGCAGGGTCCAGTGTAGCACAGATGTTTATTTCCATATTTCTCACACTGATTTCACAGCGTATAGATTGGCAGTAATTTCTTTCTGTTACTGTTTAATGCTGTTACCCTCTCTTGAGTGATTATAGGGTAACATCCAAGTGCTACTGAACTGACCAGAAGCTGCTGCACTTGTCACCAGCCTCTTCTGAGGTCTAGGTCAGCTGTTTTTGTGCAGCCTTTTGAGTTAGCCGCATGGAACGTACAACAGCTGTTTGTCAATTACTGCTGAGGATTGTACTTACAAAAGCGGGTGTTAGGAGAAGGGGGGGGACCATTGATTTTCCAAAATTATCTAAAGTAAGACAAGCTACTATTCCAGTTCTGAAAATATAATCCAGGGCATAGGACTCTCACAGAAAATGGAGCCCTCTAAAGAACAGTGACAGTTTCACCCATGTGCATTTCATTACAAATTATCATACGTTTATGTGGAAAATCAATTCTCAGGGGGGCAGTGGTGGGCGGGAGGGGAGCCTGGTGGGCTGCTTGGTTGTGCAATGTAAGCAACACATGTTGGGGGCAGTTGGCCGGGAGGCTTATGCTTCAGCAGTGCTTGCATAACCGGCAGCTGAAACAATTAAAACTGTTTATTTTTACTGCATTTATATATCGCCTTTCTGCCAAACCACACAAGATGGTTTATTTTATTATTTTATCATAACTGCTTGCAGTCTAAATGGCATGACATAAGGGAGGCAAGGCGAAAATAAGCAAACTGGGGCATCAGCTCTTTATCCTGTTACATAATGACCAGCTAAAATGGCCACTGCTGGATAGAATTGTGTTGGGTTACTACAATACTTTCCATGTGGGATTGATCCAGTGTTTGCAGCTAGCTTGCTTCTGGGGTAAACTATCAACAGCATATAACCCCTTGTTTTCAGGATCCGCACTGACTCATAAAACGCTTCTGGGCCACGTTCAAAGTTTTGGTACTCATGTTTAAGACAAGTAGGAACCAGGTTGCATAAGAGACTGCCTTGCCTCTTACATACCCAGTAACTCACTGTATTCTGCAGAAGAATCTCTTCTTGAAGTTCCTAAACTATCAGAAGCCCTCTGCAACAATTTGGAGCAGGACCTTCAATGTAGCTGCCTCTGTTTTGTGGAAAGCATCCCTGCTGAGATGTGACAGGCACCCATTCTCATTTTGAGAAGTTTTTCCAGCTGAATGAAAAAGCTTTAAATTTCTGCTTTGGGTATTTATCTATATTGTTTAACATTTATCTCTAGGCATTTTGTTATATGGTTGTGAATCACTTTGAAATCAATATGGAAGGAGATTAATTAATAACAACTTTTGACCCACCAAACAGTGCAACCCATAAGCCATGCATTGTGCCACGCATATTTTTTGTTACCTGAGTTAGATGACAAGAAAAGTGAATCAAATGCCCAGCATTATGTGACTGATGGGTGCCTTCAGCTTGAGAGTTACATCTTGTTTACATCTGCTGCTTAGCAAGCAACTTCTTGATTGATCTAGAAAAGGGTTGGAGAAACTTCTTTGGTCTGAGGGCCACATTCCCTCAGGTACAATCTCCGAGGGGACTCGTGCAAGTGATGAGCAGAACTGGTCACAAAGGTAGGAGGAGCAGTAGATGTGACTTTTATCTTTGTTCAGTAGTCTACATTCCTGCCACGCAAAAGTCAGAGGAGTCTACACATCCTCCACACACATCTCTCCATCCAGGTAAGCAAAAAGCATAATCACAGTTACCAGCACACCCTAGCTAGACAAAAACGTCCTACATTCTAGAAAAATTGAATTCTAGACAAATGCTCTGCTTGTTCTTAACTATTCAACAACTTATGGGGCTGAATAATAAATAATTATTAAAGATTAAAATTAAATTATACCCAAATGGTTTTCTTTTTATTAAATCCTATTATATCTGAATTTTTTGGAAAAGAAAAGGGTTGAACCAAGAGATGTTTACCTTGTCTGCTACTCATTGAGATCGTTATTTTTCTTGCTAAACATCTCTGTGTGCTTTTTTAATGGCCCAGTGGATTGAAAACTTAGTAAGTAAGTTTGATCATAGCAGAAATGCTTGTGCTTCAGTATGACTGATGTGAATGTGCTACTCGGTTCCTAGTTAGAAGCATAGGGAACGTTTGCGCTTTTAAAATTTTTGCTAAAGAACTGATGTGTCACTGGCACAATTTAGTTTTGCTTTCAAGTAATGTAAATGTAGTTCACCAAAAGATTTATCACCCTGAGTTAACGATCTTGATAAAATCTTGCTTCTCTTATCTTTTACACTACTGTTTTGGGAAGAGGCCATTGCTCAGTGGCGGAGCTCACACTTTGTTTGCAGAAGGACCCAGGTTCAACGCTTGGAGCTTCCAATTAAAAAGGAATTTAGACAAGTTTAGTAGGGCAAATGGCAGGGGCCCATGTGCCCCAGAGGACTGAGGGTGTTTGCCAGCATCCCTTTCTCCTTTTTCTTATCAGGACAGTGCATTGGCAACAATTCGCACTGTGCAGCGAAGAAAGGGTATAGGTGAGGCTGCAGCCACCCGCTAATCTTCATTTCATCAGAATGCCTCTGGGCTCTACCCTAGCAAAAATGTTCAAAAGAAAAAAAGAATGGTCTTCCATTCCTGCCACAACTGGCATGTGCTCACCCCCAACATGAATTTGACCTTTGAGCATTCCATTCAAATCGTCAGAACTCTTCAGCTAAGGGCTGACTGTTCTTGAAAGGCCCAGTTGTTTCCTTGGCCTGCTAACTCATTGCTGAGGGAGAAAACCACCTCAGGGGTGGTTCTCCAGGCTACTCGCAAAGTGAATATGCTTTGCTGGAGACCTCCATCACCTTTTACGTAATTCCCGAGTTCTTTGTTCCATGAGGGATGGTGTAACGGGGTGGGGGGAGTGGGGTGAGACTGAGCAGAAATGAAATGGGTGCAATCTGCTCAGTTCTACTTGGAAGAATTTAACAGCTGGAGCAGACCATTTCTGGTGCTAGGGTGCTCATCAGGTATTGTTAGGGAGGGAGGGGATATGGGTATTGTTTCCTAGATTTTCTTCCATTCCCCATACGCCATTCCACATATTCCCAAACGTCTGCTGATATAAGGCAGCTCTCCATATCCCTATGCCATGGGTCTTGTGAGGGATGGATGCCGACCAACCAACCAAGTGTCTTGCTATATATGTGATCTATATTCCCTTCTTGAGAGCACAAATTGAACAGATACTCATTATGGTATGCCATGATCAACTGTGAGAATCTTAGCACCCTAAGAAGCTTATCCTGGGTCAGATTGCTGGCCCATTCACTGAGCATTGTCTGCAAAGGCTAGCAGAGTATCTCCAGGATTTCAGACATGTATTTTTCTCAGTTCTTCTCAGAGATACCAAGGATCGAAAGCATTAGTTCAACTTCTGAGCCTTGGGGTACATCCTAGGGATACATCCTATGCATAGTCTTAGCTGTGGGGTGGGGAGTATGTAATTTACTTTACTTCTTCCACTGCCTTCTTAGAGGGTGGAGAGAAGCCACAAGCAGCAGGGAGTTCCTCCTTTGTTCATGCCCTGCTGTGCTCCTGTTCCTCCCATTCTTCCCCCACTTATGCTGACAGTATCCTGCCAGAAGAAAGGCTGCTTTGGTGGTAGACTTTGCTGGCATAAGGGTATCTCTGTGCCCACATAGAGTCTAGTCTGTTGTTCCTATCCCCACATAGTGGTACCCCCTTAGGGGTAGGATTGCATTGTGAATCATCTTTTCAAAACTTCTGGCCCAGTTTCAGGAGCCATTTCTGATTTAAGGAATATGTGTAAAAACCCGTATCCTTGTGTGGAAAACAGCCCCTGGCAAAAGTTGTAATACTCCCATTATGAGCCAGGATTATTTATTTATATTATTTCTTTCATAAGCGCTGTGTGTGTGTGTGTGTGTGTGTGTGTGTGTGTGTGTTAAATTTACAGCAACTCTTACTCACCCTTCGAACATCCTTAATCCTTTCAGAAGTATTCAGTTGGCCACCGTGCTTCTCATCTTCTTTGGAAGTGAGAGAGAGAGAGGAAAGGAATGTACTTGATCTGCCAAAAAGAAAAGAGGGAAAAAATCACGGAAGAGGTCCCTTGGTATATAAAGTTTGCAGCCAATAAACTTGTTGTTTGAAATAAGATTAGTAAATGAACAATAACTGCAAGTGTTACCAAGGAGAGTAGAACACCATTAGAAGCAAACTATAACTGTTTCTCCTGTGTATTTTCCCCACCCCCCACTCATACATGCAAAACTCGGAGTGTTTTATGGATCTTTTTCTGATTTTATCTTATATGTTGTACTCTGCCTTGCTATATTTTTATGAAAGTGTGGGTTATCCATTCATAAATAAATAAATAGAATAAGCCACGAGGTCACCTCCTCCAAAGTGGAAGAGTGTAGTTATACTGCATATCTTGTCAAGTTATATAAGACTTCCATAGGTCTAGGTCCCTGCAAAAAGATGTTTCCAGCTAAGTTTTACTCAGAATAGACCAATGAAAATTAATGGACCTAAGCTAGCCATGTTCATTCATTGTCTATTCTAATTAGGACTAGTGTTGGATACAACTCAGTGACCATCTTCCTGTAACTGCCTTAGGAGGAGAACACTCATCAGGGCCCTCTTGGAGCTGTCCAAGGTCCTGTTCTTGTTTGCCCTCTGCTTTGACCTGCCTTCACTGGACAATGCCTGCTTCCCCAGTGAGCCTCAACCTCCCACAAATCTGAAAAAGCAAAAATTGCAGATTAAAGGTGTTCAGTCCAAACGGGGATTGGGACACAGGGAGAGGGGACCTCAGCTGTTTGTTCCTGCTTTGATCAGCTGTTTTGGGGGGCAGGGGGGCGATCTGGAGTTAAATGGCTAAAGACTCCTCCATGCCATAATCCCAGTTTGGATTGCCCCCCCCCCCCCATAATATACTACTGGCTTTTCAAAATATTTAGCCAGTAACTAATTGAGTGAATAATATTATGTCTGTTTGATCCCAAAAAGTTCTAGAATACCATCTTAAAAGCCCTTAGCTCTCATTCAGCCAATGAATTAATGACACATATTGAGTTAGTTGCTGTGCTGCTCATACCTTGTGAGGAGGTGTGTGTGAATCTGAATTTCTGATACGGGTTTGTCTCTGTAGATCATGGCATAAGTATAAGATTGACATAACTGTAATATGACACAAGACACACACACACCCCATGATGAACTCCAGTAACCATGAAACCAGCCTGATTCCAGTCACCTGCTAAAAAGCATTCAGGAATATCCTGAATTCACACACATCTTGGCTTAAAGGTTAGCACATGCAAATGTATTTGTCAAGTACAAGATACTCAACTCCTCAGTGAGATCCAGATCTGAAGCCAGATCACAGGCAAGAGATGGCCAGCTTCCGATAATGGCAAACTACTACAAGTCTTTCACCCTTTTTGTTAAGCAAATGGGAACAGGATGACCAAAGAGAACTAGGCAGGAAATTCTGGAAGGGATTATGGAAACTGCAGGAATCACTCAGTCCACAGCTCTCTCCCATCTATACTGGTGTATCTTGGCAAATTGGTATTTAAAAACCCATTCAATTCAAAGGTCAGTTAGCTCTCACAGCTCCAACAAGACAGAACTTACCCAGTGCTTTCCAGAACTCTAAGGACAGGTATATTTTCCTTCCCCCCTCTCCTAGTGTGAGTCTATGGCAAAACTGTCATGCCCATTCTTCTGTAAGCTTCATAGAATAGTTAGGAAATATTTAACTCCTTAATTAAAGTGTGTATGTATTGTAATTTGCCACCTGCTTCGACTGTAACTCTGCTGTCTAAAGTAGCATTTATATATATACAGTCATGCCTCAGGTTGAAGTAGCTTTGGTTGAGCATTTTCGGGTTGTGCTCTGCCCGGAAGTAACAGAATGCATTACTTCAAGGTTTCGCCGCTCATGCATGCGCAGACGCTCAAAATGACGTCATGCACGGAAGCGGCGAATCGCGACCCGCGCATGCGCAGACGCAGGTTGCGTTCGCTTCAGGATGTGAATGGGGCTCCGGAATGGATCCCGTTCGCATCCAGAGGTACCACTGTATATCTATTCTGTCATGCCTATTTTATATAATAAACCAAGCTTTCTTTATTTCTTTGTGTGAGAGCTTCTTGTGGGCATAAGGTTATGGGTTAACACACACATCATAACTCCCAGCAAACGATCCTAAAGGTCTCAGAAGTGTGTATATGAGTATGCATGAGTGCTGGCTGCACACACGTGGACACACAAACCTGCAGCCTTTAACCATACATTTTTTCAAGGATTTCATAGACTGGTCATTTTCTTATATTGGTGCATTATGCTATAAAGTCACAGCCTCACAGAACTGCTAGTCTCACCAGGGAATTTTGAAGATCTCCTCTGTAATACCCATCACCCTTGGTTCAGCTACCCTAGCAGATAGTTATCAGGTAGCTGTGGTGAATCTATAGCCTCATCCTATAACCAGATTAGTTACAGTATAAAATGTCTTATTTACTTGATGCACATTGGTGCCCCTGAGTGCATTCTACATTTCAAGAAGTTGCATTCCAAATTCCAGGCATCCCTGCTTCTCATTTCAGGAACTGGAAGATGAGAAGCTTGGTTGATTTTAAAAAACAGAACAGGCTGTTCAGCCATGTGGCAAAGATACTGCCATTTCCCAAATGTGTTAAGAACAAATTTGGAGCATTGCAAGAAGTTAATTGAATTCAGTATTGCGATCAATATGGATATATTCTCAATTATTAGAGTATGGAATATCTCCATACCAGGGAAAACAGAGAGGTCTTGAGTTGTTGTTGTTTTAAAAAATGTGCAATGCATTCCTTTACACAGAAGTAAGTCCCACTGTGCTTATTTTACTTCCAGGTAAGAGTACAGAGGATTGCAGAGGTTGATGTAGAGGAGGAATGAGAATGGACAGATCTGTCTGCTTCTGTTTATATCAGGCTCTTCAAGCATGTTTCCACATCAAGCTGCATTTTAAAAACAACAGCAGAAATATGCACATGGTATTTTCTCCATAAAATATGCATTTTTATTCTACCCTAAAATACATATTTTGGTGTGCATGGTAACCTAAAATGCTTGTTTTATCTGTATTTCAATATTCATTTGTTTTTTGAATGATGAGTTTGTGGTTCTGTATTGAAAAATTGAAAGATGTGCAAAAACCAAAGCTATTTGTGTTCCAATCTGCATCATAGCCTGTGAAGTGAAAGGAGTCAGCTCGCTTTAATATTGCACACCCAACAAGATCTCCCAGCATCCCTCAGAAGAAATTGACATGGGCAAAACGTGAAACAATTTGAAAAGCTGGATGGCTTTCAAAAAGATGCTCAGGCAAGTCTTGTTGTGGGGCTGATGTTCAAGCAAAGGGAACAAGTCTAGTGACAGACTGTCTGCCCGGCTCATAAATCTGCAGACAAATTTAAGTTTTCACCTGGAGCTACATTTACAAGTATGTCAATGAAATTAAAATCAAAGCCCCTTGCCTGGCCTGCGGGAAAGGAAATGCATCATGAGAAGAGAATGCTTTCCAGCACTCGCGGATCCTTCTAAGTTTCTGAAATCCTCCAAGTTAGCACTGTAGCAACAAGAATCCCAGAGTGGAATGTGTTGAACACGCTCATGATTAATGTGGCAGTTCTTCAGGAAGGATGTAAAGGTCAGGTTGAGGAGGACTCTGGTTATTTATGAGGCAGAAATCTTTTAGGTATTTCCAAGGGTGTTATTCAAGTCAGCATTATTCTGTGACTGAACTTGGATTTGACATTTTTGGATTTCAAAGACAGTTGAGGAGAAATGCCTAGCAGGTTGTGTGTGTGGCGGCAGTTGAAAGGGGAAACAGAATGAAAATTAAGCTTCTAATCGTTGTTGCAAACATGTCACAAACTTTGTCTCCCAAACTGGGAATCTTTTAAAGCTATTGTAGCTCACTCCTTCCTTCCAACCATTATCATATGTTGTTCCTCTGTATTTCCATGGTGCTCTCAAAACAGCAAACATGCCAGAGGAGAATGTATTTCCTTTCATTAAATATAACCCTGATTACTCCTTGGCTCTAGGCATTTTTCATCAGCAGATAACAGTTCACTAATGAAGTTGATATTGCTTTTTCAGCTGACTCATGCCAGCACTGGGATTAATCAGTTAAAGGGGGGGGGATGTATATCCTTGTTCATAGACACAGTTGGCACTCTACATTTTATAAACCAAATGACAGAAGAATTGTGTTCTTTTCTATGAGACTTTTCTATTATATATTCCAGCAGATTATTGTTTGGCTTTGAATGATTCTGCTGTTTAAATGGTGGCACCTTTTTCTTCTTTTTCTCTTTTGCAAACTGATTTTGCATTTTAGCATCACATATTGGCTGGATCCAGACTGATTTAGTCACACTTTAGTCCCATGGATACATCTGTTTCATTGTTTTCAATGGGACTAAATGGCATCTGATGTAGTCTTAATCCAACCCATTGAATTATTAGATTTTTGGATGGCCTTGCCCTAAAAGGTTGTCAAAAATATTTAAATAAATTAAATATTAAAATGATGACAAAGTGTATTTACATGATGTAAAATAGATTTATTTAGCCACCAAGAATCATCAGAACATAAGAAGAGCTCTATTGGATCAGACCAAAGGCCCATCTAGTCCAACCTTCTGTTTTCACAATGGCCAATCTGCTTATGGAAAGCTCACAAACAGGGCTCACTGTCTGGTTGCAGCTTCAGCAACTGGTATTCAGAGGCATATTGCCTCTGGTACTGGAAGTAATATAGTCATCATAAAATAGTATGCATTGGTGTTGGTTAGAGCAAGGTGCTGATAATGCCAAGGTTGCAAGTTTGATCCCCATATGGGACAGCGGCATGTTCCTGCATTGCAGGGGGTTGGACTAGATGATCCTCAGGGTCCCTTCCAACTCTACATCTCTATGATTTCTATGAAAGCCTTATCCTCCAGGAAATCATCGAATGAAATGTCTGGTTGGTTAGCAGCCCTTGGGCAGTTCCCACATGTGCCCAAAACTTTGCCCAAGTATCGTGTACAGCTGATTTTACAGATAACTCATTCTGAGTATCTCTGGAACCTGACCATAAAGTTGCCATGTAGTATTTAAGCATTGTTTAATTGCTTGATGTGCCTATGTCAATAAAGAAAATGTCTTCCCTAGTTAATTGCAACATGGCTGGAATGGGGGTGTTAATTTCTTTTGCAGGATGTGCTTGCCCCACCTCCTCTGTTTGCAAATGAATGTGGCTTCGAGACACTACTGGATGGACTGCTTGCTTGCAAAATGAATCATGTTCTTTGAACCAGTACAATACATTCTACCCAAATGAGGCAGAGCTACCACTGACCTCTTTTTGTGTGTGTTTTCCTGCTGTGGCAGTAGTCTCAGTGCGTCAAGGCTCTCCAGGGCTTCTCATTTGGCATTGTCTCCCTCCCTGACAAAGGACCCTAGGATATGTCGGGTCCTTCCAGGTTCAGAAGACCTTGAAGAGCACCCACACTACTACTGTAGTTTAAGAGTAGTTCAACTTGAAAGGCTGCTGCTGTTCAAGTTTAGACAGTATTGGCCATGGCAAAGTGGCAGTGGTGTAGCCCTTTGCCCACAGTGCTTTGCTCTCGAGAAATAACCATTCCTCAGAGCAAGATGCAGCTAACCAGAGAGCCCCGTATGAGTGCTATTGACTGCTTTGCCTCAGGGGCAAAGTGGTGGTCTTGGGTCACAGCCACACAATACATTTAAGAAGTTAAGAAAAGCCCATTGGATAAGGCCAGTGGTGCAGCTAGTCCAGGGTTTCTGAAACTTGGGTCTCCAGCTGTTTTTTTACTACAACTCCCATCATCCCTAGCTAGCAGGACCAGTGGCCAGGGATGATGGGAGTTGTAGTCCAAAACAGTTGGAGACCCAAGTTTCGGAAATGCTGATCTACTCCAACATTCTGTTCTCACAGTGGCCAACCAGTTGCCTATTGGAAGCCTCAAAGGAAGGACCTGAGTTCAAGAGTGCTCTTCCCACTTGTGATTCCCAGCACTCAGAGGCATACTGTCTCTGACATGGAGGCAGAGTGTAACCACCATGGCTAGTAGCTCTTGATACTCCATGAATTTACCTAAAGACATCCAAATTGGTGGCCACCATAACTTCATGTGAGAGCACTCACAGCCATGTCTCTCCCACCCCCCCCCCCCCAAGAATACATAAGACTCATGCATATCCCTGCCCTCCCTGGGCTGCTTTTCCAAAAGAAAGATGTGATTGTTTCTGAGCACATTCATTTGTATGTTTACTATATGCTATGACTCTTAGAATTAAAGAACATGCTTAGCCCAGGATTCCCCCACCCCACCCCTTGCAACTGAACCCACAGCCCTTCCACACAAAACTCCATTCCGTTTTCCTCTGACACTTTCTTCATTTCAGAAGCCTAAGTGGGGAGCCTCTCATTTGTTGCTATTTTTTAAACAACTGAGAGTCAGAAAATCTTTCTGATCTGCCACTTACCCTGAGGTCAACTCATAGATCCCAATTTACCAGTAGGTGACTGCTGTATGCCAAGGCCAGATGATGCCTATGTTATAATACAGTCTTTAACCATCTTAAAAACAATTCCCTTCCCTCAAGCCACTAACCGCACACTGCAGTGGCGTCACCAAAGGGAGAAAGCTAAGGAACGCTCTGAGAGTCTGCTTCCTATGCAGCCCTCTGAATACTGGGGGCTGAACATTGGCATTTCTGTGGGTTCCCAGAAAGCACACCCTGCTCTTCCCCTTAGACAATGGTGATCATGCATGATGTGTGGGGCAGGAGGCGAGTGCTTATATGGTATGAAACTAAATAGATACACTAGCGCAATGATTTCTGCTTGTGCCTTTTCCTCTCAATCTCTGCACAACCTCCCCAAATCTGCTCTAGAGGGTTGAGGAAAATCCCAGCACAGATTAAGCAGGGGGCAGGGGGAGTCCCTTCGCACAGCCCAAAGGATTCTTGCAGTAGTGAATCTATTTTCTTGTATAATGCCCAAGGGCAGTTTCATCCATGCCACAATCAATGTCCCCTCCACAAATGTCTGGTGGTGGTTTCAACAATAGCACTGGGTGTGGTAAGGAGGAGCTGCCCTCTACAAATTGGTGTTGCTTGAGTTTATTTGGACAGGACCAGGACAGGGCAGTGACAAGATCTAGGCTGCGTAGGTGCACCAGCAGAGCCCATCTGGTGTTTCCACTGATGTTCACCAACCCTGGACTCACTGCCGCTGTGCCCTGCTTCAGCCCAATCTAGGTAAGCTGCAGCAATGTTGGAAGGTGGCTGAACATGTCCACCAACCCAGCAGCTATGGGGTGCCAACCCAGAGTACCCTGATGTGATCTGCCACTCAGAAACAGCCCTTACTTTATGTCACTGATGCACCATTCTTTTATGTGCTATTAAACCAAGGACAATAACAATGTTGTTGATATGTTTTTATTAAAAATGGATGAAACTGATATGAAGTAAGATCTACTTTTTTTTACCGCACACATAAAAAAATACGAATGCACTTTACAGTGTATTTACACAACATTTCCCACGTTTCAGCTTCCTTGAGTTGAAAACCAAAATGAGAAACTACAAAGGTTAAAATATCTATTTTACATTATCTACAAAATGTATATTCTACTCTGACCAAAAATCATAGGAAAACACTTTGATGCATGTGGGGAGGGGAGTGATGAGACATAAAACAGGCGTCTTAAAAAATATAAAACACATCAAAGCTCATTAAATAATTACATTAATAAATAACTTTTTGTTCAAATTTACTTTTGAAGCTGCTGTCATGCGTATTTTGCTTTTGTTTACAACTCTATGGATACAAAGGTTTGGAAGAAAATGATCAGCATGAACAATGCCCCCCCCCGGTGTGAAATCCAAATCATTCCTTTTCTTTTAAATGAGAGGTGTGAGACATGGATTAAATACTTGATTGAGAACATGTGCCCATAAAAACACAACAGCAGCTCTCTACAATATAAAACATCGCATGTCCATGTCAACAGCTCTTTTGTTTCCAGTAAAAAGAAGTTCATTGAGCTGCAGGTCTGGAGCCCATCTTGAAAATATAGATGCTCAACTTACCCCCCCCCCCCAATGAAAAAGGTCCTTATGCACAGAATGCCCTTTTGAGTTTGGTCAAAGCCACAAGTATATGTACACCCAGCTGTGAAGCAAACAATGACATGATAGAGTTTTCATTAGGCAGTGATATCTGTAAAGCAGGCAATTCATTGATAAGTTCAAATTTTAAGATGCATGGCTGAGTTCTAACTCGGGGGATGCTTCATGGATTTGCTGTTCCTTTTCCTCTCTTTATGATGCTGCGCGGGCTTTGTTTGAGATGCTCCTTCAAAGTTATGGCTGGATTCGTTGTGTTGCCTGGTGTATCTCTTGCACTTGCAAGCTGTAACGACAGTTACTTTGTAGGTTCTTGTACTTCCATCTTGACACTGAAGCTGAATCCTTTGGGTGCGGGTCTTGTCATTGACACATCGCCACTCCTGTGAGCTCCTTCTGCTCCAGTACTTGGAACCATAGCCTCCTCCGATCCAGTTAGGCAACACCGGCAAAGGGAGACACTCCCCAGCGCACACCAGCTCTTTCAGAGGGTTTATACTGGTACATTGGCCATCAGAAATGTATTTGGTGGATCTCAGTTCCCGGCATCCAACTTGAACTCGACCTGTCAAAGGCACAGAATATGGAGGTCAACACTCAAATTCCAATGGCCTACATTTATTTCTTGCATCAGAGTAGCTCACAAAGCCTTGGTACCCATGTTTATATGTCCTTCATGTGGCAGTGGAATGGAGCTCCTTCCTGCTGCACTATGTGTAGATGATGTAATATGCAAGCCAGGAAGTCCATGTCAACATCCATATTTTACATTATTGCTCCTCCCCCTTGCTGCTGCAACCAACTTCATAAGAGTAACTGTTTGTGGATCTGCTCATGCAGGGATTCACAGAGTATTGCAGCAGCTACTTCTGTGATCACAAGATACTTCCCATCACCCAAGCAGCCACTGTAATTTCCCTTGATTCCCTGCAACACACATTTTACTGCACATACACGCCGGCTACAATAACACTGGCACCAAATCTCTTTTGAGGGTGAGAAATTGTGTCAGCAGGGCTTCCATGGAAGCTGGTATTGTGCATTCAACTCTTGTTACACCATCTGAATGGTGGAGGAATGAGAGGGGCATGTTTCTCCTCAGTCACATGGAGACTGGGCAAATGTCTGAACTGGGGCACAGAAAAGGTCGACCCCTGGCAGTCAGTTGATGTTTCATGGATGTTCTGGGTGATTATTTGGTATATTTTCCCACTATAGATGTGTACTTCATCTAGCCCAGTGTTTCCCAAACTTGGGTCTCCAACTGTTTTTGGACTACAATTCCCATCATCTCTGACCTCTGGTCTTGCTAGCTAGGGATGATGGGACTTGTAGTCCAAAAACAGCTGGAGACCCAAGTTTGGGAAACACTGATCTAACTCAATGGAGGCCAGGCACTGATTATTGGCTTCTACTTCTCCCTCTGGCCCAGGGGTGGAGAACCTGTGACCTTCCAGATGTTGGTGGACTACAGCTCTCATCAGCCCCAGCTAGCCTGGCCAAGAGACAAGAGTTCAAGTCCAACAGTGCCTGGAGGGCCACAGGCTCCCCATCCCTGTTCTGGGCCAAAACTGAATGACTAAAGCTGTAATGTAATAGTGCAGGTCTAAAAGCTAGTGGGATTGCCCCAGAGTAAGTAGGTTGCTAATTGTGGCCTGTTTGTATATAAGCTGCCTCAGCTTCTGATGGTATCAGAAGTAATACTGTGTTAAAAGCTTCCATCCATCTACCTGACTTGCATGAAATCATTGTCCTGGATCTTGATCTAAGATGGATTTGTTCCAAGATGTTAAGTATTTGTTTAGCTAGTGTGAAGATTTATGCGTGTTGTTTGGGGAGTTTAGGAAATTAATATGCTGGATTTAAATAACAACAATACAAAAAAGCTCAATGTATGCATACTATCTTCAAGGAAAACTCTAGCTCTGAGGAAGATTCTTAGAAAACTGTATTCTATACATTTTTCTTTGTCAAAATACACAGTTTTCTTCAGGCGACAGTATTACAGTATTGCAACATTGCTTGTCAGTATGCTTACTTAAAACAGGTAATACTGCTAAACCTGAGGCAATATTATTTCATTTTTTTAAAAAGGCAACTGACATTGTACCAAGGCACTGAACCAGCCGCAGATACAGACATGTTTGTGCCTGCTTACATCTGCAGAGATATACCCTCAATGAAGTAAGCACAATCCCTTATTTTAATAATTACCCTTTGAAATGAACACACACCATGAATTTCAACACACACCTTTCACTCTTCTGCTTTCTCTTTCTTAAAGAAAGTGGAAACTGTGCAATGTTATTCAAGAGCAATGCAAATAAGCAGAATTATAGTTAATTAGCAAAGCGTCACACCCATGATATTTCAACTTATGTTTGCTGCTTTGATTTCAAGTAGAGTTGAATGACCATTTTAGAAGAAGAAGAAGAAGACATATGGACTTTTTTGCAGTCTCCTCAATATGGAGGGATATTTGTCTGGAAGAGCTTATGCGAAAGGTTTGTCTTATATGGGCACAACAGGCCAACTCAAATTTACCAAACCTTTTGTGGAGGGAGGGTGTTAGGTGTAATCTAACACTCCATGCACAATGGATTTTTCAACCAACTCCGTTTTTCAGGAACCAGGTATTCCTTAAGGCACACTCTGCAAGGACGTTCTTTTGTGCAAGATGGCACCAATAGGGTTCGCACAAGAGATCTTCTCCAAATTCTAGTAAGGCAAAGCTGAATTTGCTAATGTGCCAACATGCCATGTCCATCAACCAATTCCCTCTCTATGGTGACATTCTGCAGGAAGTCTCCACCCAGGTTGTGTGTGTGTGACTATTTATTACTTGAAGAGACAGCAGCTTCACCAACTATTCCCCACTGACTATTTTAAGAGGAATAGATTTCTGCACACTGTTCCTCACCCAAATAATTTTGATCCAGGTTTGCATCCTGCACCTGGCTCAGGAATGTGAGTGAAAGGAAGTGGTTACCACTTTGCATTGTCTGTCTTCTTCAGTGCTTGCATGCGTACAACTTTAGCTCCCCTCCCACCCCCGTAGTGACAGTTCGCTGACAATGAATGCATACCGGGCTGTTCATGTAATCTTGCATTGACAAGATATTTCCTGTGTATTTAAGCTACGCTTAGCAGAAATGCAGGCAAGCCTTTTTTCCTTGTTTTAAAAAACGTGGTCATCAACTTTTTTTTACTCTTTTGGGAGACAAGGATGTTCTGGTTTATGGCTCAAGTCAACTCGACCACCACCCCCCCCCCGGAAAAAAAAAACCATTTCCCAACCGTGCCCCTCTTTTTTTTTCCAGCCAAAAGCCCAATCGGGGGAGCAGGGCATTTTCAAAGGCAAGTTGGAGCAGAGATCCCGGGTAGGTTGTGAACCTGTTTGTTGACACTGACTAGAGGAGTTAAGCAGGTAAGTGCTAATTCAGGAAGTAAAAAACAAAAATGCTGGAACCAAATCAAAGCTTGGCTGCTGAAAGTAAATGTTAGCTTTGTGAAGGGGCACAGACGAGTGAGCTAGCTGAAAAGCCCGCTGAGAGAGAGAGAGAGAGAGAGACTAGAGGAGAGAAAGCATTGTCTCTCCTGAACTACAGTACTTTGTCCCTTACAAAGACGCTTTATGAGAAATGAAAGGTAATCTCAAGTAGCCCCCGATCTGGAAGGAGAAAAAAATAAATAACCCAAGCACTTCTCTTTTTCTCCATTTAATATTCTGTCTTTTGCTCCCTGTTCAGATCTCATGAGCACAAGATCCAGGAGAGAACTCCCAAATGCAAAAAGCCTGGATCTAATTTGGAATTACTAATAATAAGCCTGCCACGTTTTTGGCACGAGAACTCATTCATTTTTATTTTTATTTTAAAAAGTGCGCGTGGAGGACCCCCCCACCCCCCTTGAGACGGAATTCTCCACAAGAACTTCTAAAGGGGTGCATCCTTAATGGCAAACACAATTCGACTTTTGAAACATCGTATGTAAAATAAAATAAAGGGCAGGGAGTGTACTTGAGGAGGGGATAACGAACAGAGCGCATCTGTACAACTCCAAACAGATACTTACTGGTCCGGTCGAATCCCGGGTGTCTGCCTCCATTTCTCGCTTGGTTCAAGGTGCTGTTGTTGCTGGAGCTGGCTGGAATGGGTTTCACCACGTGGGAATAAAGGATCTCGGTGGCATCGTTCTTGAAAGCCCAGCAGCCCTTCAGGAGCAGGCAGGCGAGCAGAATGCCAGAGAGCTGTAGAGCGGAGAGGAGCATGGCTGGCTCAAGCTGTGTGCGCGCCTGTTGAATCCCAGCTCCTGCTCCTGCTGCTGCTGCTGCTGCTGCTTCCTCCGCCGCCTTTTCTGCAACTGTGAAATTCCTCCCAGAGACTCCCTTTATATAGTCCCAGAGGCTTGGCACTCTTGGAAGTGTAAGCTTGGGGAGAGCTTCAGGATGAAAACACAGACAAGGAGAGGGTGGGATCCCCTGGAAGCAGCAAAGGATTCTTTTTTTTTTTTACCAGTGGAAGGCTGGAGCAAAGGAGGAGCTTAAGGGGGAAAAGTCACTAATTGCAGGATTCCTAGGCCAGGTTTTTGAGGATGGGGAGAGGGAGGGAGGAATCGAAGAGCTGTTCAGTAGCAACCAGACACTGCAGAGGGGATAAGCTGGTTTGCCGTTTCTGACACTCTGCATACCTGACTCCCCCTCTCACCTGCTGCATACTCACAATACCTTTAAAGCACATTTGAAGCACATTTTCTCCTTCAAAGAATTCTGGGCACTGTGGTTAAGGGTTGCTGGTGGGAATTGTAACTGTGGGAGGGCTAAACTACAGTGCCCAGAATTCTCTGAGGGGGGATGATATGTTTTGAACATGTTTGGATTCAATGTTTCAGGAGTATGCAGCCTGAATCACTGTTGCCAGCAAGGATTTGTCTTCCTAAGACTTTCTCCTACTGTATTGGGTGGGAGAGAGGGATGGATTTTGTCATTTATGTGAAAGATGCAAAATTGTTCTGCACACTGCGGAAAAGGTTCAGGGCAAGCATACTTTTCTGGAAGGGGGAGAAAACGGCAGCCCACTATATGTGTCCCGTGAATAATTTAATGATGGCCTAGAGAAAGATTTTAATAATGTAGCTTTGATCAACGCAAAGCTTTCCTAAAGCAACGTTTGTGTTAGGGGAATTGTCTCTTCTCAATGTGCTAGAAATTCTCTGCTGTACTTCTCTGACACTGCTGACAAAGATAATACGCATTCTTTGCCCCAAAGGAAGTTTCTTTAGACAGCTTCGGCAGCTCACATGGCCCAAGTTAGCCTCATTAAGCCCAGTGGGAATACTCTAGCATAAGTGGCACATAACTTGGAGCTTTCACTTCATGAATCGTCTACTGCTATTTGAAGGATGTGAAAGTATATTTTACATAATGAGTAATAATAAGCTGTTCTGCAAAGAGAGGAAGGAAATCTCGCTTTGACCTGTAGCGTTCTGCTGATGTCTTATTTCCAGATATTAAGCATTCATTTGAGATTCCTCTCCCTGAGATACGGGGCAACTGGTCCTGCAATGACCACATGCAGTGCCAAGCCACTAACCATAGTTTAAGCAAATTAGTCTGGCATGCCTCCACTTTGCTCCTTCCTCCATTGGGGAGGAACAAGCATGCAGTATAGCTGACTTAGTGTTATGTCTGACAGCCAGTGAGATGTAGTGGTTAGAATGTTGGACGAGGAGGACCTGGGAGATCTGGGTTCTAATCCCCACTTGGCCATGAAGCTCACTGGGTGACCTTGTGCCAATCACTGTCTCTCAGCCTAACCTACCTCACAGGGTTGTTGTGGGGATTGGATGAGGAGGGGGAGAACCATGTATGCCACCTTGAGTTCCTTTGGAGGGAAAAAAAGCTGGGGCATAAATGCAAAAAATAAACAAATAAATAAACCAGCGCTCTTAGCTGGCTTTGTTCCAACAACCAATGTTTGTGGTACCCTGATTGTAGCTTTTTTTGCAGAAACACACGTCAAAGCTGGATTCCTGCAAGGCACTGTCTGCACTTGATCTAGGTCAGGGTTTCCCAAACTTGGGTCTCCATCAGTTTTTTTGGACTACAATTCCCATCATCCCTGGCCACTGGTCCTGCTAGCTAGGGATGATGGGAGTTGTAGTCCCAAAACAGCTTGAGACCCAAGTTTGGGAAACCCTGGCCTAGATGCTGCAGTTAGTGCAGAATGCTGCAGCGTGATTGCTGACAGGAGTGAAACCTTGTCAACATATAACACTTGTGCTCGGAGGTTGCACTGCTTGCCAATTTGCTACTGGGACAAATTCAAGGCGTTACTATATAAAGCCCTTAACAACTTTATTTATCTGCAAGTTTATCTGCAAGATCACTGGACCACTTCAACGTATGGAACTGGCACTGGCCACATTAGGCCCATTTTGCATTTGTAAGAAATCACTTTAGAACTCCCAGCAAGTACATCTATTTCCAAGTAGTGCGTATTTTGCATGCACATACTGAACTTGTGCAAACAGAGGCAAAGGACACATGGTCAGAGCAATACCTCCAGGTGTTGTTGGACTACAACTTCTATCAGTCCCAGCCAACATGATCAATGGTCAGGGATGATGGGAATTGTAATCTGACAAATATTTGGAGAACCACTGTGAGCTAGATCTAACACATCACAGTGCACTTCATATGAGTTCCTGTATAGCCTCTTCTGTGGAGCAACATTATAGCACATGCTTCCTCTGTTCAATGCTTAACTGGAACCCCCAGAATAGGAAAAAAGAAAAACCACCTATACCCAACACATTTGTGCAACCTCAGTTGTTTGACGTACGATTTAATCCAATTCAGACTGATGTAGCTAAATTTAGGTTGAATGCCAAATACTGAATTCTGGCTGGATGTGGCATCCCCAAGGCTTTTACCTTCACCATTTAAGTTAATGAGAATGATGCCACTCATGTCAACGATGGGAGATCGCGCACCACCCAGGTGACAGCTTCTGTGGAAGACACGGAGGCAAGCAGGAGGTGTTGAAAAGCAGAACCCATAAGTCTCTTGGCAGCTGCGAGTGAGGAGAGCTCAATCCATACCTGCCTGTGTTATTATAACTGGCCACACCCTTTTCTGGAATAGCAAGAATGTTGCAGGTTGGAACGGCGGTGTATTAGCAGTTGCTTTTGTGTGGAAAACCTTGATCAGGACTTGGCGGTCCTGTGTCTCGCCACAGCCAGACGATCAGCTCTCCTCTTTTATACCTATCCAATTTAACCCACCTAAAAAAAAAGTAGACATGATGAAATCTATTTTGCTTTTATAAAGCAATTATAAAGTAAGGCTGCCTTGTATTAAACGATTCATAAAGGCACGCTCAGCTGTATCAGAAAGATATTGTATATAATTATGACTTACCCGAAATATGCTTCTTTTGTTTCTCCATGTGCAGCCTTCTTCCTCTGCACTACGTAATGGGGAATGGAAGAGCCTCGTGGAAGTGAGCGCTTTCTGTCCAATAAACAGCAATGGCAACACTCTAGGCATGCTGCCGGTCCCATTTTTGTAGTAGAATCGACACAATACAGATTTCCCATTGTTCTGCTTTGGATTTCTGCAATGGTGTGGTTATAAATTCTGAAGTGCTTCTATGCCACACAGAGATATACACTCAGAGAGAATTTTTGACCAATGCAGACATTATGGCTTCAACATCAAACCAGCTTTTTTCCCCCTCAGCCCCACTTCCCCTGCTTTGCTTTATGTCCAACCTGAAGAACAGCTCTGGTGGACTCAAAGTATTGCTCACTGCTTTGTGACATTTTGGTTGGACTCATAATAAATGGAATTTTTCAGAACAGAAGTGGCAGTTTAAACCTGAGCCAGTAGTGGTCAGTGAGGAGGAGCAGAAGTGCTAACCTCACCTTTTATCACAGACATTGCTGTGGTTTACTGGGAGGAAGCAAAGTGAGGTTGGCTTGGTGCAAATGCACTGGCAGAACCAATGTGTCTGCACCGTGCTGAGCTCACCACCACTTCTCACCTGCAATTGGATCTGCAATTTCAAAGTGGTGTAGTGGTTAAGAGCGGTAGTCTCGTAATCTGGGGAACCGGGTTCACGTCTCCGCTCCTCCACATGCAGCTGCTGGGTGACCTTGGGCCAGTCACACTTCTCTGAAGTCTCTCAGCCCCACTCACCTCACAGAGTGTTTGTTGTGGGGGAGGAGGGGAAAGGAGAATGTTAGCCGCTTTGAGACTCCTTAAAGGGAGTGAAAGGCGGGATATCAAATCCAAACTCTTCTTCTTCTTGCAAGCATGTGAAATTATCCAAGTCAAGCTTATTTCTTACAAGTATTTCCTCTCCAATAAAGTTTTCTCTTTGTTCAATATTTTCCATATGCTCTGCAGACTTTATGGATATTTGCTCCTACAATTCTCTTTGAGGCTCATCAGGAGATTTTTAGATCATTTGATCTGTGAGGTCACAAAAACATGGGCGACAGTTACTAATACGTCATATCCAGAAGATGCAGTCTCAGCATTGTGTGTGTGTGTGTGTGTGTGTGTGTGTGTAATGGATACTTTATGTAGTCCAGATAACCATGAGATCATCTTGGTAAATTGCTTCACCTTTTGTTAAGGTATTCTGCAATCTGGAATTATTTCTGAGTGACCATCTGGATTCTGGATTCTAAATTGCATTTATTTTCTGTCTTTGATCAGAAGACTGTCAGCATCTCTCTAATGAAGGCTTTGCCAAACTTATCTGTTCCTTTATGATCTCCGGATAGAATAAGTGTGACATCTTGTCTATCGGCTGCTCCTGTCCCAGTCTACAGCTACTCCTCCTGTTAAAAAGGACTCCTTGATTAATTAGTGGTATTGGCCATAGACAGCACAATGCCTTTGAAGTCTATATTGGCTTCCTTTTTGCCCCTCAGGTAAAATATTGCTATTGATCTATAAAGACCTATCCTCTTGGAGCCATGCCTGACAGATCTTCTATCCCAGTTGTGTCGCACTGACAGCTGACATTTTTTTACTTCCTCAAAGGTTCGGGATCTGGAGGTGCATTTTTCTCAGAGCCTCATTGGTCTGTCAAGAGCTGGAAGAGCTGCCAACTGCAGCAGATTCATCACTTTCTTGTCAGGCTGTGGGGAAAGTAATCAGCTCATATCTCCAGGCGAGATGGATCTCTTTTGTGTTTGCATACTGAATTTAATATCTGGTGACTGGGCAGTAGAAAAATGGCAAGTTGGCAAAGTGAGGCAGTTTAGAGCAATTATGGTTTGCCTTCGGAGCAGTTAAGAGCAATTATGACCTAAAAGACGTCCCTAGCTCAGCTATTGGCGTG